GAAACAGGCTGTCTTTGTAAAGTAAAAAAGCACTGCGAAACGAGGTGTTAGCCTAAGAAGAAGGATGCTTTCATGGAGGACTTTCTCAAGGAAACTGCCTCGCACACAAGGGGAAAATGACGAAAATGCCCATGCAGGTGGCCCGTTCATCGAGATCTGAACTCAGGACTGAATAATTAGAATTTAACGACTTCACCACTCAGCCGCTAGTGGACCCTAATATATATACGGACGTATATATACGGTATACCGTCTTTTTCTGAAAATAAGACATCCCCCAAAAATAAGCCCTATTGTGATTTTCGGAACTTTTCGTAAAATAAGACATCTCCCGAAAATAATCCCCAGTTAAAATAATGTGACAAAAAGAATTCTTTAAAAAATGCTGTTGATTTATTAAGTATAAGTAATAATATGTTTAGCTTTCCTAATACTCGTATTTCATAGAAATGTTTGAAACAAACTATTCCGAGAAATTAATTGTTTACCTCTACAGTTCGTTTCAAATTAATTCTTGGAATTTATCTTAACCAGTTCCCCATTTGCCCCGAGAGAGATGCGTTAACAGGAAAGGCATCGTCATCCGTTAGCGTCGGCAGACTCACGTCGGGGTGAAATTTGGGCTAAACCGTAACCCCCGAGACACATACGACGCAACGACCTTTTTCCAACTCCCACAGAATGAGTCGAAAATGAAAAGGGGTGATTGATGGGTAAAAAATTCATGGGACAAAATGACTGATAGTGATGTTTCCAATGCACTACGAACAGGCTACTTAGACAAGAAGTATTCATTTAACAATAGCTATATCGCAAGACATGAGAGATTCGAACCAATGATTCAACAGGAAATGGATTTAGAAGAAAATCAGAATATAATCAGAATTTATTTATGACGATGTTCCAGAAGAACATGACATGACTGTAGTTGAATAAATTTAAATTTCGTATTCTGTATACAATAAATATTAAATAAAATATATAAATGTGGGGAAAGGCAACGACCATAGTTGATAACACACATTTTATTACTATTTACAAATATAGATTACATTAGGATTACAATTAATGAAAATGGTATACGAGCGATCGAGCGACGTCTGCTCCGCTCGCCAGCTAATCCTCGTCTTCTTCCGAAGGCGGGAAAACACATGCTGACGACGCAATGCATACGTCACACAGTAGGGAGATTAGGGAATATCATGACATAACGTTTCCACATTCGGCCATCATGACCGGACAGGCGACCCTCGCCTGAAGCAACATAGTATATCATCAAATTAAAAAAAATATTATAATATAGTAACATAGGTATGAAAAAAATAATCTGTAGATACAAAGCTGAGGATACTTACACAAATGGAAGCAAAAAAAAATAGATTAAACAACACACAGCAGTTAACTAAAAATAAAAAGAACATTAGTATGACAAAATGAATTAAAAAGTTGATATGAGGGGAAAAAATTATTAGAAAGTTCTCAGGTGTCATATGTCCAAACTTAGGAGGACCTATAATGCTCACAGTTTAATAAAAATCAAGTGATACGTTCAATATTGTTGGACCAGGGTTTCATGTATTCAGCACAACTAGATGTTTTGGATGGTCCGTCGAAAAATGCACACTTTTCCACATCATATGTGTCATTTTGTTTGAGCCTGGTGACTTTATAAGATCCGAGAAATTTCTGTTTGAGTTTTAGACCAGGGCCAAACTGAGTTCGTTTGATAGTCACGAGGTCATGAAGTTGAAATTTTTGTGCCTGTTTTCGTCGCAAATTATAAGTACGGCGATTTTCGTCTTGCACTTTAGAGATTTGCTGTTTTGCGTCCTTACGGAGATCGTCACGTTGCTGAATGAATGCAGATTTGATCTCCTCGTCGATGTTTATGTCGTTTTGCGATTTCATTTTAGTCCCAAAGAGAAGTTCAAAGGGAGTGGAATTGATGCTACGTTGAAAAGTTGAATTAATAATTTGTTGCACGGGGGGAACATGCCGGTACCATTGCTCAGGGTTGGTTATGGAGAGTTTAGAAAGGACAGCAATAATAATGGAGTTCAAACGCTCAACTTGACCGTTCGATCGTGGGAGGCCAGCTGTAATAAGAACGTGCTTTATTCTCTGTGTGTCACAATAGTTTGCAAATGCAGTGGATTTGAATGCAGGGCCTCGATCAGAGATAATCCGCGAAGGAATTCCGAAGACTGATCTTTGAGATTCCAGCCGATTGATAACTTCATTTGCGTCTGTAGACTTTTGTCGGATAAAGCCACACGAATTTAGTAAACGAGTCTATAACTGCCAAAATATGTTTGTATTTCTTTGATGTGTGGTGGCAAGGGGACCTAAGTGGTCGATATGGTACGTGTGCAAGGGTGCGTCGTCTTTGTCAATGGGGTGCAGAAGTCCGTCTTTCTTGCCACGCTTTCGATTATTGAGGATGCATGGGATGCAGTTATGGATACACCGCTCAATTTTTTCTTTCAAATTTGGGATAAAATATTCGTTGTTTCTTGAGTGCGGATTACGGCGAAGTGGCCTCGTTCGTGAGCTGTTTTAATGACATTTGCCTGCATATTCTCAGGCACCACAAGTAAGTCAATGCCATTGACGTTTTTGTACAGGAGATTGTTCTTAACGAGAAAGTTATCATACGAAGGCGTTGTTTGAAGGAGTGCTTTAATAGCCGTAATATGCTCGTCGGTTTCTTGTGCTTTGCGAAATTGGAGAAGGACACCTGTCTTGGATAGTCATGCAACATGGACTGCGACTGAGGGCATCCACGTGAGCCATCTTTGAGCCTACCGGTACGGTGCTCAATTTCATAGTCAAAATCTTGGAGATATAAAACCCATCGGGCTATTCTCGAATTGAGTTCCTTTTTATTTAAAGTTTGCACAAAAGCGTTGCAGTCAGTGATAATTTTAAAATGTGAACCAAGGACGTAAATACGGAACTTTTTTAAAGCTTCAACAATTGCAAGGACTTCGAGTTCATAAACTGGTGTATTTTACGCTCATTGTCCGATGTTTTCTTTGACATGTAGTAGACAGGGTGGTGAAAGCTGTTATCGTTCATAGATTTTTGTAGTAGGACTGCCCCCAAGCCATCAATGGATGCGTCGGTATGAATTTCGATAGGACTCTTTTGATTAAAAATACTTAAAACTGGTTGTTGAGAAAGCAAATATTTTAATCTGTGAAATGCGGCTTTCTGATCAGCATGAAATTGAAAGGGGGTGTCCTTACGAAGGAGATCACTAAGGGGTTTTGCAATGCTAGAATATGAAGGGATGAATTTCCTAAAATATTCCGTGAGACCGAGAAAGCGTTGGACGTCTTGAACGTCTTTAGTGATTGCTGGTGTCTAGGGTTCGATTATAACGCATGCACAAAAGGCACGGCCGAGCCCCCAAAATGTGGGAAAAGGCAACAACCATATATAACGCTGACCATATATAACGCCAAATATAACGCTGATTTTTGTTGTTTGACTTCTGAATTAGACCATAGTTGATAACACACATTTATTACTATTTACAAATATAGATTACATTAGGATTGCAATTAATGAAAATGGTATACGAGCGATCAGGCGACGTCTGCTCCGCTCGCCAGCTAATCCTCGTCTTCTTCCGAAGGCGGGAAACACATGCTGACGCAATGCGTACGTCACACAGTAGGAGATTAGGGAATATCATGACATAACGTTTCCCACATAAATATACTTTTATTTTTGCCCTTTCCCGAAAATAAGCCCTAGCGCGAATTTTGGACCAAAAAAGAAAGTAAGACAGTGTCTTATTTTCGGAAAAAAAAGACGGTATATACGACGGGATATATATCGTATATATACGTGCCGTATATATATACGGACCTCTAGACATTATATCTCTAGATATAGGACGTATATATACGGACCTAGAATATTTTTTGTGATATCGGTAAGAACGTATATATACGTGCTTATTAAAATGTGTCAAAGAAATTAAGGCAGTATATTAAAAGCAAACAAATCCAGGTATGAAATACCATCAGAAGTTTTACATTAAAAATCAAAAAAGTAATTTGTTCTCATAGTAGCTTTGGGAAATTCGTGCTTTCTTAGCGAAAACCCTGACCGCTCAGAGGGTTAAGGGCCATTCACACTGCGGTTTATCTGAGCTAACGGAGTCAGTTTCATGGGGACGAAGAATTGGATAATATGGGGACGTTCAAACTGGGGATTATCTGAGCTAAAGAAGATATCTGGCATAACCGACTCAGCTCTCTAATCAGTTTTTTGTCACAGCATAGCAAGTTGAAAAATCTGGGCCTCACATATAACGGAGCTAGACGACACACGTCACGGAACTGACTATATTATTACAGATATACTCCAGTCTGAATGGCTCTTTAGGACATCCCTAAACAATAATGATTACTCATAATGACGCAGATTACTGATAAATAATCAGAACATTTACTCTGAGCTCACTGTGCAATCTCAAATCATGTCATTAAAACGTTTTGAAAGAGAGAAAGGGGAGGGGAACACGATTAAACGCCAAATATTTTTAGATAGAGTAAACCCTTACTAAGTCAGCCATCTACAGTTCTAGACGATTTTAGCTTGCTGCAGAGATGGTCGTCTTAGAGAGGTGTTATTCAATGCCGATGTTTATTTACGTACTCATATTTACTTTTTGAAAAAGGTCGTCACGAGTGGGTTCATTGCATTATTGATCAACGAGATTAAAAAGTGTGTTGCAGCAGATATGGAAATTGAAAAGAAATTTACTTGCATCATTCCTGTGACCATAAAATTATTCGATAGGGACCGACTATAGGAATTTATGAATGAATTTTAATGCGTAGCAATAGAAGCTGACGTAAAAATAACCGCGAAACATGAAAGGTTTCGAAACCAGTTCAAATAGCGCGTACTCTTGAAATTTCGAATTGCGCAAATTGAAGCGTGCATAGAAGATTAGCTAACGGGACGTTTCGCAAGCAACTTACTCCTTTTAGATTCCGATAACGTAATCGAGTCATCCATCGGCGGGGCATCTGTGCTCATCTGAGGCATAATCCAGAGCCGGGGCTCACATTGCATCAACACGTGCAACAGGCGGAAGAAAAGAAGGTTGATTTTTATGTGATAGTGAAGAGAAAAGTAGATAATCTGGTCGACCGATAATAGAAGAGTAAGCCATGACGCATTCAGATTAAAGTGTCTGAATAAAATCAAATAAAAAAGTAATTTTATGACTGATACGCGAAGAAGAATAGATTTCTATGTAGAAAGAAATAAAAAAGGGTTCATATTCTGAAACGATGTATTAATAAAAAAGGGATAAGCTACAAGGAAAAATAAATAAAGAAGTAAAAAAAAGTACAAAGTACTTTCCCATAAAAACTACTTTTTAGTTACTATAGGCCATTGGTTTTAACTCAAATTGCCCGCGGGCCGCATATACGATCTGATGGTTTTCCCCATGTCTAACGTGTATACGAGCCAGTTCCCCTTAGAAAGTCCTCCACGAAGGCATCCCTCCCCTTAGGCAGATAGTCCTCGAGGCTTTGCTATAATCACACACACACACACATATACGATCTGAAAACAGCTCACATGCCTTTATTTTTTTAAGAAAATAAAAAAAAAATATTTTAGGTGAATTTAAAATTTCACTGACTAAGTATTTTTCAAATCATGCATAAATAACAATAATTTCACAAATGAACATTATTCAAATTTATATTTATTTTCTAACAGATACCTAAAGTTTGTAACCTGCAAGGCATTTTTTGTTGGTTACACTTTGTAATATAAATATACTGGTAGCTAAATATTAAAATTTTAGACCGATATTTATTTGAAATACTAGTTCTAACATGCATAATTAATCATTAAATTACTGAATTTAGTTTAGACTGAAAAGAACTATACTTACGTATTTTTACGTAAGTAAAGTATCTAACATACGTTTCATTTACTTTAATTTAAACTGAAAGAAATTAAGAAAACTTTCTTAAATGTTCAGAAAAAGCCGTGCAATTAAGACAAAACTTGAGAATAAATAATGAGAATTTAGTATCTTTCTCTCATTTACAAAATTTTTCTTCGGCGTATAAATGAAAATACATGTTTTTGTATGTTAATAATTATAAATTTCTTTCATATCTTACTACTCCCCGACACATCATGAAGTTTCGATTCTGATAAAGTATGTAGTCTTGGAAAGAAAGTACTGGAAATTATCTTCATGACGGACTGGAGATGCTCATCGGCCAGCAGTTTTGTTTTTCTTATTAACTTTCAACTATAGGGAATGGGAACTATTCACATGTAAATGCAGTCCCGAATAAAGCGATTACTTTTAGTATACAAATTCGTAAATAATTTATGTTTTGGCCAAATACAAATAAAATCTATATTTTTCAGATCTTTGTGTAAGATGTACACTTGAAGTGCCACTGAATTAGGAATAGCAAGTCAATAACGAGTTGGGCCTTCTCTGGCCTTGATAATGGCTGCCACACGACAAGGTATAGATTCAATAAGGTTGCGGAAATATTCCATGTGAATAGCTTGTCAAACATAGGATAGAACTGTCCATAATTCAAGAAGGGTCATTGGAGTTGTGTAATGTGGTTTCACATCTTTCTCCAAAACAACCGAAAGGTACTCAGTAGGATTTAAGTCAGGGCCTCTAGGTAGCCAATTCATTAGAAAGAAGTCAGAGGAATGCTCATCCAACCAGGCAGTAGCCAACCGGGACCCGTGATAGGTGCAGCTATCTTTCTGGAATACTCCATTACCATGTGAATGATAGAACGACATAAATGGATGCAAACGGTCGTCCAGCAATACGTACCGAATCATATTGAGAAAGGTTGGTACAAGTACCAAAGATTCCAAACACTGCTAAGAGCCCATAACTAAGCCGCCGTGGCCTTGCACAGTTCCAACCTGACGTGTAAGATCCATGGTTTCATGAGCCTGACGCCCTATTCTCAGCTTTCCGTTGGTGTTGAGTAGTTTGAATCGAGACTCATCACTTCATGATACTCGTTTCCAGTCCTCTAGAGTCCATTCTTTGGGTACTTTTGCCTTAGCAAAGACGTGAAGCTCGATGGCATGCATTAAGCAATGGTGCAATGGGCTCTCGAAGCCCATACGGTGAAGCGAGCGTTGCGCGATCCATTCACTGACTATATGACTGGCTCCCAGATTCAGCTGGGTGGTAATTTGAGCTAATGTTTGACTTCGCTAGTTATTTCCAATACGGCTCAGCCGTTTCACACTACGCTCCTTCAACGCTAATTGTCCCTTGCAATTTGCCCGATCGCTGGTTGTTTTTCCCGCCATCCGCGTATTCTCGTTATACTCTTGACACTGTCGATCTTGAAAATTTTAGTCCTCTGACGACTTCGGAAATCGAATGCTCGTGCGTCAACCGCCTACTATCTGTCGGCGCCCTCACGTGAACATAAATGCGGCGCAGCGTTATCGTTACAAAATTTTCATACCCATGCCTGCCCCTAATTCAGTGGTACTTCAGTGTATATCACATTATACACTGCTGGCCACCGTAAACGCAACACCCTGAAGGAAACACGCAAATAACATGAAATCTACAACATGCATTAGCGGAGGTGAGATATGCAAATGATTAGAATTTCAGCGCAGATGCACATCACGCGCGCCTGTGGCGCCACTTCAAAGCGCTATTTAAGGCTTGGAGTTTTCGACGATTTCAAGTTCGGCAATTGTGTTTTTCTTCTGGTGTTTAAAAAAAAAAAAAGTTCAATTATGCCTCTTAATAAATAGCGATCATGGTTTGATCAAGTATCCGAGTTCGACAGAGGAAGGATACCGAGAGTGTGGATTATCTTTCAGGGAAATCGGTAGTCGTGTTGGACGAAATTAAACAACTGTACTGCGGATATGTAACCGTTGGATGCAGGAGGGTACGCGGACCGACGTGTTCGATCACATCCACCTCAGTGCACCCCTTCACGTGATGACATGAACATTGTGCGCATGGCAGTGACGGATCGCTCAGTCACATCACGAACCATAGCACAGCACATTCAGTCTGTAACGCATCATCCAGTGTCTGCGCGTACCATTCGACGCCGTTTTCAGCAGAGTGGTCTGTCCGCGAGACGTCCATTGCTTCGTCTACCCTTGACGCAGAATCACAGACGTCTTCGCCGCCAATGGTGCGATGAAAGAAGGATGTGAACGGCAGAATGGAATGAAATTGTCTGTACTGACGAGTCACGCTTCTGCCTGCAACACCACGATGGTCGGATTCGAGTATGGAGACACCGTGAAGAGAGGATGCTGAACAGCTGCGTTATGCACCGCCACACTGGTCCTGCATCGGGTATTATGGTATGAGGCGGTATTGGATATCACTCTTGCACCCTCCTCTAGTACGCATAGCCGATACTTTAAACAACCAGCGCTACATCTCCGAGGTGTTGGAGCCAGTTGTCCTTCCTTACCATCAGGGCTTGCCCCCAGCCATATTTCAACAGGATAATGCGCGACCACACTTAGCACGCATTGTCCAAGGAATCTTCGTCAATCGTCAGATTGAATTGCTTCCCTAGCCGACTCGCTTTCCGGATCTTTCGCCGACAGAAAACATGTGGTCCATGGTTGCTAAACGATTGACACAGATTACATCCCAATCTGCTACACCAGATCAACTTTGGCAACATGTGGAAGCTCTCTGCTCGGTCTGCTGTACTCTAAGAACACATCCAAAGTCTCTTTGAATCAATGCCGAGGCGTGTGGCAGCGGTGATCTCCAACAATGGGGTGGCTATTCTTTCTACTGATTCTGGAAGGAACCACTCTTCACAGAAGTCTATAAATTTAATCATTTGATACTTGGTCAACATGTTATCTACTAAATAAATTTTGTTGTGATATCTCTTGTCTTTCTTGGTGTTCCAATTTGGGTGGCCAGCAGTGTAAATTTCCTGGTGGGTTATTCACGTTAATTTTTAATGGTAATGAAAATAATGTAAACCCGGACATAAATATTAATTAAATTAAAATCTTTGTATACCTGTATTTGCAATAAATTCATAATTGAAATCTCTTCGCGGGCAGCATATAATTGCTTCGGAGGCCGCCAGTTTAAGACCACTGATATAGATTATTAGTTACTCTTTAGTTACTTTAAGATTACTTCTTTGAGCCAATTAAAGAATTTTAAAAATAATCTACTGAAGTGAATTCAATAATTGGGTAATTATTGAGGGTTAGAGATATACAAATTATAAGACTTTTTCGTTAAATACACTGCTGGCCACCGTAAATAGGTAGGTATAGGTAACGGGGAGCACGGGCACTGTTCCTTTACCATAATGGTTAATCGGCAACACCCTGAAGGAAGCATTAATTAACATGAAATTTACAACATGCATTAGCGGAGGTGAGATATGCAAATGATTAGAATTTCAGCGCAGATGCACATCACGCGCATCTCCCAATTTTTGAAGAATTTCTCTGAGAATAATGAAGTCCGAAGTATAAAGAACAACAATTCTCGATAATCTGAACTCATCGAGATTTTTCTATAAATCTCAAGATTTTTCACGACGGTATACTGAAGTAGAAAAGCTAACATTATTAAAGACTCAACCAGTGACCCAACTGTAAAGTTGCTGAACACAGACAGTCGGTCCGGAGCTCGAATCCGGTGCGAACGGGCTGGCTGCATGGACGTTTTCATGGTTTGCCTCATGTGTAACGTGGATACGAATGAGTTTCCTTAAAAAAGTGCGCCTCGCGGCGTCCTTCATTCCTTCATTTTCGTAAATACCACTGTGTGCTAATCCATAATCCGTTATAATAATAATAATAGTAGTAATAAAGCTAATAGGATATTACACGCGCGGTTTTGCTGATGTCTAATATTCAAAGTATAAGAATTTCAGAGAAATATGTAGATGTATACTTTTATGATAGAAATATTGTTTTATTTTGAAGATCCGGTACAAATTCGTTGAACACTTCTCACCGACGCCAGTCTTATCATATCTGTACAGATAAGGACCGTGCTTCTCATGCGCTTTCTCAAATGAAAAACAGGATCAAAATTCCTAAACCAAACAGAAATGAATTACACTCGTCTGCAAAATTAAGAGAATTTACACATTACGTCGGATTACTGAAAAACCAATAATTGGCAACATTTGGGTACGGTCCCTGTGTGCTGTATTGAACAACTGTAATTGATGTTATATGAAGATGTATCCGTATTCGGCCTGCATATGCCTTCCAGTAATTTAGAGAAGTAGAAGGTACTAGAAATCCCTCTCGGCGGCCAGGAGTTAAAGAACCCTATTTTAAAGCTGCCTACAAGCGAAACCAGTGATCAGAAAACTGTGAAATTTTGTGACGGACTTAATGAAGGAATGCGAATATCTTTCAGACAAAACACATTAGTTACACCAGAGGGGGTTTTACTTTGAAGACCTAGAGTAAAAATCTGATGTGTACACTACATGACTTCCTTGTACGGAGTATTAAATTATATGCATTTTTTCTTGCATTTCATTTAAACTTATTGGATTGAATTAAATCTACTACAGCGCATAAACCACAATAGAATAAATGCACTCTTTAAAATTCACTATATTTGTTTACCATAGCGACACTCTGGCGCTAGGTTCACTTAATATTTCGTTCATATTATAACTCCGAATGCACACAATTTATATCATTTAAAGAATTATCTTATCGTTGCCACATGTTCTATTCAAATACTATAATAAAGCTAGAACGATATATAAAAGAAATTAAGCAAACAAAACAAGAAAGAAACAGTTTTTCACAGACGATTTAGTATTTCTTATTCAATTAATTCAGTTCTTCGCGACAAGGCAAAAATACATAAAAACTCAAAATATCTGTATTAAAAATTACGAAGTAAATCTTAAACACTTATTTCCTCGAAAAAATTTCCAGAAAGGATTAAGCATGATTTAATTCACAATAACAAATGAAGGCGTTATTTTTGTTGTTGTGAAGTTTAGTCTCTCTAGATTGGCAACAAATCTACTATTCTGTTGTTTCAAATGTAAACAAATATGTCCGCCATGTTATTTAAAACTTAACCGCACTTAAACAGCTTTTAAATTGTTGATAATTGTACAAATATTGCTTCCAGATTTACGAAAGACATAAAAACCTTAACCGATTAAGAACAACATAATTCAATCATTTTCTTTAAAGCAAAAAATGTACAATTTACAAACATATAAGAGTAAAGAAACTCAGATCACTGTGCCGAGTAACAGAGTGGATATATATATAAATATATTTATAACTTTTGGTGCGGCCGATTGCAACCAAAATACGAGGTGCACATCTGCATGTTATAGCAGTCATATATACAAAATTTCAACGTTCTGAGGCTACTCGTTTTTGAGTTATGCGAGATACGTACATACGTTCGTACAGACGCCACGAAAAATTCTCTTCAGAATTCATTTTAAAGCAGTTTTTTAGTTTTCTGGAGGAAAAGAGTCTTTTATTCTGTCCTTACGTACAGATGTCACGCAAAAACATCGTTAAATTGCATTCGATAGCGGTCAAAATGGATATTTTCGTTGAAATTATGCTGCCTGAAACTTTTCGCGATACAATACTTCGATTTTTACTTCGTACAAGAAAGTAAAAATGTAAATCTTTGTCGATGTTATGAAGCAGCTTTATAAAACCTAGAAACATTCGCAGAGACTTTGCTTTAAATGTGCTTTCAATGATGATAAATTTACGAGATTGCGCTTTGTTAGTAAAATTGTTTTACCAAATCAGCCGGTACTTTCGTAATGTGTGGGCTCCCCGATCTCCAGACCTAAAACGATGCGATTTTTGGCTTTGGGGACATTTGAAACATCTGGTAAGTCGTGACAATCCAAGACTTTACCTGATCTTAAAGCCGGCATTTCACGCCACATGCTGAACATTTCCCAGCACACACTTCTGCCAACTGTGGAACATGCCATCTTCTGATTTCAGATAGTAACTGAAAATGATTGCCATCAAGTATAAATTTTTTTTTTTTGTGATAAAATTTGTAAAATTGCAAAACACTTTTAAAAGTGTGGTTAAATGCATAAATGTACAAATAGCATTACCAAAGCTCTTTTGGACGTAATATAAAATCTGAAACTTTCAGAATTTTTTATTTTTTCAATTTGTTTAATTCAAATTTCATTCAATTTTTTAAATAATATTTCAATTTTTAATTAACATTTATAATAATATTTCATTTCAAAAGGGCAGTTTGCTCAGAAGAGCTATTAATTTCGTTTTGGCATTTTGCGCTGATTCACTATAAACGGCGAAGCGCTTTTTAAATTGTTGCCACCAAATATTATAGATCTGTATTATATTTAAAGAACTTAAATAATGAAGAATGTGCATAAATGTATGTATGTTTCTCGCACTGTGATGAAACGATGGTACCTAGAGCCATCCAATTTTGAATAACGTACGTCTCCACCCGAATATGGGCATCTGGCTCTGGCCCTCACTCTGCAGATCCTGAGAAAGTACTGTCTGTCTACGGTAAGAACACATCCCGCCACGGTGTCTGGCGGGTGGCGGTCGCTATAGCAACAGGGCTAGTATATTTCAAATAGGGACGAACCAAGGGTTGCTTTATTGTTATTTTATTTTGGCGACTGTTGGCTGAAGGGATAAGAGTTTATCATTCGTCTTCTTGGTTTCATTCCAGCTGCACGCATCTTTTCTTAAGCCTTATATTATTATTATTAGCTATTTTTATTCTCGTTGTTATATCTTTTGTACTGGTATTTGTTCAAATTTGCTTCTATTTAGCTTGATTTTCATAGTGCTTTGTTAATCGCCAATTTTTTTAAAATGCCCCTTCCAGTTTAAGAAAGGTCAACCTTTAAAGTCTCAGGCACGTCAAATCGTGTACAATGTCGCAGAATTTTGCGCTTCTGAAGCTTCGGCGAACTCTTTAGTAGTTCCTCTTCCTCAAGTTTTGAAGAGAACGTCGCAAGCTACTGGAGTATCGGAGTATACAATTAAAAAAATTAATCGCGAAGTATCAACAATGGGGGAAGATCAACTTCTAAATACGCCTGGAAAGAAACGTAAAAGCCCTGCTAATCATAAGTGCGAAATTGACGATTTTGACAAATGCGTTATACGGCAGACTATACAAGACTTTTACATCAAAGAAAAGAAAGTGCCATCTGTGCGGAAATTATTGCCTGTCTTGAGGCAAAAAATAGACTTCCCGTGGCAAAAAGACTCATTGTGCAAAGTTTTGCGTTCGATGAATTTTCGCTGGAAGAAATGTGTTAACAAAAGAAAAATTCTTATCGAAAGACCTCACATTGTATTTTGGAGGAACAATTATTTACGCGAAATGAGGAAACTCAGAGCAAGTGGACGCCACATCGTTTACATCGATGAAACATGGATTGACAGCAATTTAACTTTTAAGAAATGTTGGCAGCATGATACGGTTTTGGGCGCACAGATAAATGTCAGTTCCAAAAATAGACTGATTGTTGTCCATGCTGGCTCTTCCGCAGGATTTATTCCAGGTGCCCAACTTATTTATAAAGCATCAGCTCAAAGCGGGGATTACCATGGGCAAATGAACTATGGAAATTTTGAAAAATGGGTGTTGGAAAAGCTTCTTCCAAATTTACGACCTCAAAGTGTGGTATGCATGGATAATGCCCCGTATCACACAAAAATTGAAGATCCGACACCCACGAAATATGCTACAAAGCAAACAATGGTAAATTGGCTGATGAAGAAGACGATATGCTGCGATCCCAAAATGCGAAAAGCGGAACTGTTCAGCTTAATAGAATGCAATCGTCCTAAAAAAGTAATATATAAAATTGACAACATCATAAAGGAAAATGGGCATCATGTTGTGCGTCTCCCTCCTTACCACTGTGATCTAAACGCAATTGAATACGTTTGGTCATCAGTTAAAAGACTGATCAGGGAAAGGAATGTGACTGGGGACTTAAGCTTGGAAAATTTGAAAAATTTAACACAAAAAGCTTTGGATGAAGTCACTTCTCAAGAATGGCAGGCGCACTGCAACCACGTAGAAAAACTTGAAAATTATTATTGGGACAAGGACGAACTTTTAGAAGAGATAGTGGATGGATTAATAATTCAAACTGGCAGCAGCGATTCTGATTCTGATTCAGAAGAAACGGAATCTTGCGACAGTGACTCGGATGACTTTTCAGATTTTATACCTCTATAAAAGTCCTCCACGAAGGCATCCCTCTTCTTCATCTGATAGCTTTTGTCAAGTTGTGAGGATATTTCTAGGTTCAATATTTTCTTTGCCACTATGTAAATGAAAGATTACCAAAAGTGGGCAACAATGAGCCTTCGGCAGAGGCGAAACCCCCCCTGTGGATAATAAAGAACACTGAATGGTTGCTTCATTTCCCATTACTGTGTTCTTGGGGACCCACAAGCCATGGTATAATTTGCTTAAAAAATAATTTTTAATCTTTAATTGAAATTAAATAAGTTTTGTTTTATTATGAAAATATTAATACAAAATTATATTAATGCAACAATGCTCACTGCAGTTATAAAAGCCAAATTTTGTATAATTATATAAATTTCGTATAATTTTAAATATAAAATAGGTAACTGAATAATTTAAGAAACCTAATATAATTTTGTTCTGATTTTAACATATAATTTTGTTCTGATTTTAACATTTTATTATGTTACAAGCTATTACAGTGTCTATAAAAAGCAGCATGATGCATAAATGGGCGCTGGTAATTAAGAGGCCCAGCAGCGGCCGATCGGTAAAGTCACTGAACACTTGTAGTTCGGTCTCAGGTTTGAATCCCGTGAACGGGCTGGCTGCATGGGTGTTTTCCCCATGTGTAACGTGTATACGAGGCAGTTTTCCTTAGCAAGCCCTCCACGAAGGCATCCCTCCTCTTAGGCATTTAACCCTGGAGGCTTTCTGTAATCATATAAACCAACCCAAACCACTGGTAATTAAGTAAAAAACAGTTTTGATTTTAATTTACCTTCGCTTCCTTTCGTCATTAAATTGACCACCTTTTGGTTTAGTTCGAAGGTATGGGAAAAGAAGAAATGTTCGCAAAAAGTATTTATTGAGAGCATTTTTCTTCAAAAATAAGCACGGATTTTTAAATGCATTTCCCTACAAGTTATTTTGATATATTTTTACTCATTGTACATCTAGAAGGATGGCAAATTCAGCGACTTGTACCTCACACGGCAAAATCAAAGACCGTTCCTTAACTGCAAAAACTTTATTTACGCCATCAATTTTCATTTTCGGAAATTGAATGTCGGGGTCGACGCAAAGGGTCAACGAGCATTTTACTTGAAACTAAAACAAAATGTGAATATCGCCAAATCATCTTTAAATATGCCAAGGTGGCAAACTGAGAAGTAAATCTTCAAGACACCCCTACGAAAAATGGGTCACGGCTCGTTTCTACGGCAACAGACAGCCGCAGACAAACTGGCGAGAGCTGTTCTTACCGTAGACAGACAGTACAAATCATCCGGAATCTGTCTAAGTCTACCACTAAAAAAGAAGTCACAAGTATTTTAGGGTTAGCAAAATTACTATAGGGACTATAGGTATCCTCATTCGGATGGAGGACTACGTTATTCAAAATTTGATGGCTTCAGATACCGTTGTTTCTTCGCAATGCGAAAAACGTTGATGCATTCATGCAAATTTTTCATTATTTTTTTCCGAATGGTGGACACTTGCCCTTTTTTCCACAATTGGCCACTCCTAAGGCAAGAAGTAGTGGCCGTTTCATTGAGAAGGCACCTAATAGTCTGCCACCGTTGACTCCTACGAGAGGACAGACAATTTACATCCACGCCTTCTCCAGAATTTGAAAACTGGGCCCTTCGGAATTGCAGTCGCCTCGACCTAAAGAGTCGGACATTCCATCAACTCCTAAGAATATGGCAAGAACGTTGGGATGAAGCCTCCACAGGAAGACGTGTTTACAATCTCATTCCCAAGGTCAAGACAACAATCCAAACTAATAGCGATTACATGACATATTTCCTCACTGGTCATGGGCCCTTTCCTTCATACCTCTGCCGCTTTGGCTTGAGAGAGAATGGTAACTGCGAATGTGGGGAGGAGGGTCATCCAGATCATTTTGTGTTCTCCTGCCCACACGCAGCACTTAACAGCCTCAAGCAACCAGGAGCCAGATTCTGGCCAAATTGGTTCCAGAATCTACAAAGTAACAGAGTTGCCCAGCGGAAACTGAAAACAATAATTGACTACTGTACTAGCAATTACTCTTCTGACACTCGAAGATAGTAGCCATAATAGTACAAACTTGTGTCGTATCTACCATACATTAGGTTCTAACAATGCCATTTCTAAGCACAATTCTCTTAGAAATTAGACATCACACTTTCAATATGGAATTAACTCTTCTTGAACTGGAACATTTACTAACCCTGAAGGCAAGATTACTTGCTCTGCAAAGCCTAGCAGTATGCATGCACGTTAGAATTATATAAGCTATCTCAGTATGTCAGCAACAGAGTATGTAATACGTCAGATCAATATATAATTTTGTATTTATGCAAATGCTTGGTTTTCATACACAAAGTTTGTACTGTACCTGAAATTGTTGTACTATATCTGAATGCTGTACTGTATATGTACATGTTAATATCTTTTATTTATGGTACTTAATCTATACTAAAGATCACTCGTACCTCAATGGCATGCTTCTTGTAAACTTTAACTATCATGATAACGTATATGTATGGGTGTATATATCAATATGAGTGAGAGTATGTATACTTCTATTTGTTTCGGAATATCTATGTATGTAAGTGTGTATATATCTGTATATGAGTTTGTATTTATATGTATATACATATATTTTGATTGTACTCTTCTTCAAGTGCCTTGTATGCACATGTATATATTTCTTTGTACATTGTACTCTTCTTCAAGTGCCTTGTATGCACATGTATATATTTCTTTGTACATTGTTGTACTCTTCTTCAAGTGCCTTGTATGCACATGTATATATTTCTTTGTACATTGTTGTACCCTTTTTCAAGTACCTTGTATGCATATGTTATATTCTCTTTTTTGCATTTTATAAATGTCGTCTGCTCAGCCGGGGCTGTCCAGGTCTGCGGCCTGGTAGCTAGTGGTTTGACTCCCGCCGAGTTGGTAACCAATTCCTGCGTGGATATATCTATACCTGGGTCGGAAGCCAACTCAGCGGTTTACCTCCCCTAACCACTATACTGTCTGAGCCGCTTCTTCATTATTGAATTTCTTTAAATATAATACAGGGCGATAATATTTGGTGGCAACAATTTAAAAAGTACTTCAAACTATTATACTGGTTCAACGAAAAATCCTGTTTTGAGACTAATAGCCCTGGGCTAACGCTCCTTTAGGCTATCAAAAAAAGGAAACAGGAAAAAAAAAAAAAAAAATGTGCGAACTCTATATTTCTGTCAATTATACTTAGATTGAGATCCTATTCTCGAGATTTGCGATTTTGTACAAAAACAAAATTACAAATTTAGAACAAAGGAAACGTTTATGCGATGTTAACATTATCTTATATTACATTGTTCTCATCCACCTGCTGATTAGCGAAAGGTGGATGAGAACAATGTAATATAAGTAAAAGCTAATCAGCAGGTGGATAAGAACAATGTAATATAAGTAAAAGCTAATCAGCAGGTGGATGAGAACAATGTAATATAAGTAAATAATGTAATATAAGTAAATAATGTAAACAAAGCCGTTCAGAGCGAAAGAACATGTCCTCAATTTTCTTTCGATGCTTTTACATGGCCTCCATCTCAAGAAATAGTACAACTAAATATTTACCAAAACTACTAGTTATCTTTATCTACACCCTTTTCAGCCACTATAGCGAACCGAAAAAAGAAAAACATTACCTAAGCTGTATTTTTGCATCTTAAAATGAAACCGTTGAGTACAAGTAAATACTATCATATTTTGAATCTCCTTTCTGTAAATACAGCTTATACTACGACTTCTACTACTGCTATCGTAAAATTTATCTCTTGCCCTTTTGGAATTATCGTCCGACGTTTTTTTTTTATTGCTATTTTTATGTTTATTTCTAACTCAGCGATAAGATGGACACAACTGTCAGTTATCGACTCTTATCTTTGCTTGAAAAATCCGGACGATAAAGCCTAATAGATATTTTGACGGCCTCGGAATAAAAAAGACGTGAGCACGCTTGTTTTCTTGCTGCGTTTTGAGATAAAAGAAGACGCGGTAAGAGTCTGGACGTTCAGCTTGGCATTATTTCGACACTTGCCCCACTTTAAGCCTTTGGTTTCTTAAAACTGGTAGCTTCGTTAGTGATTGTCATCTTGGAGTTATGGCATTCAAATCTTAGAATAGAATTTTTCTTTCTAAGCCTGTTATTTTTTCGTCTCCAATCTCAGTTTATGTTGGTTTTATTTTTTAAACCGGGTACACGCAAGATGTATTTTATTTTTGAATTTAAAAGAGAAAAACTATGAATTAATGAATGCCTGAACGCGCGCTGAGTTACACGAGCGCGCGCACTGGATCCGATAGACCCGATTCGTGTTTTTGAAGGAAAAAAAACTGTAATCTTCAGAAAAAGTGTTACATTTATGCCAATAATAAATTTTATGATCAAACTTAAAAAATATGTACATTAAAATTTTTAATTTCTCGAAATGCTTTTATGAAATAAAATTTCTCAAAGGAAAAGAATATCGTATTATATATTAACATAAGTGATAAAATTAAATACCTTTACTCGATATCAGTTCTTTATTTTCTTTATTAGCGCTATAGACATAGAGAAAAAAATGCAACAACAAGTATTAGTAGCATATTGAACAAAGTGGGTTACCGTGTGTTCCAAATACAAATATTTTTCACATTCGGTATAGCGTGTTTTCGTTTTTTCTGTGCCTTTTCGCTGGACAAACACTGCAACTTTTGAGGCGGGAAACTGTGAATCATTCTGTGTGGCATCAAGCATTCGGCGTACGAACTGTACCCGAAGGGAGGAAGTAATAGGTATCGCCTGGTAGTTGGACCTTCTGATTATGAAAAAGATGCATGTTTTCTGCACGCAGAACATTCCCAAGCATTTTATGACGAATACCCAGTTCAGCTGCAACCGATCCTGTACTGGTCGACGGGGAAACGGCAAATCGTTGCAATACTCGATTT